GTAACGGTTGCATGGGACAGTTTGTGCTACAGCCAATTCCTTTTGATTGTTGGTGAAAGAAATATACCAAATGGTTTAAATTCGGACGGGACTTAGTTCTGTGGAAATACAGCAGTGATAAACTGGAAATGTATGTTAACCAATGTACAGTAACCGAGAAAGAGAAGGTGGAGGCATTTCTAAAATATAGTAAACGTTAAAAAAAAAAGGTCTAACTTCAAACACCAAGATTCAGGATTGACAATCTGGACTGGACAGACAGTGGGGATGGATGTGAAACTGCTTCTGTGCTGTGTGACTCTTACGGTTAATATTTCATGCTTTTTTTTAAACAAAAGGGGCTTTCTTTACAATCCCTAGAAAACTGAGTCATGGTGTTTCCCATTCATATGACGTGGTTACAATGGCAGTCACTGAGCATGCCTGAGCTCTGTGGTCATCCCTTGCGTTGTTTGATGAGGATGTAGTTGATCTGCTAATATTGGAGTCTTCCAACCACTCAGCCTGCAGCTTGGGAACAGATGGTGAAGTCATTATTCATCACTTACTTACAGGCACCTCCAGCTCAAGATCAGGCCCATCCTATAGACAGAGGGAATGAGTTTGAGGCATAGTCAGAAAATCCAGTCAAGAAAGGGGTTTCGCTTTAGGAAATTGGAAGGAAATGAGAAGAGGTTGTTTGGAAAGATAATGCTTTTATCGGAAATCTCCAGGGTATTGGATACACTGCAGAGTGGAAAATTCAGAGCGACCATAACTCATTTTTTCTCCTATAAGGTTTCAAACCAGAGTATTCTTTACACTAAAAAGAGCAAAAGATAGAATGTACTTAAATCCACAACTAAGATTCCTGTTACATTTTCCAGGCGTGTTGTAATTATTTTTGAGGGGGAGGGAGAAAAAAATGCGTTGACTCAAGTAACTTAACATTTTTTTAAAGTTTTCTCTTCTCCCGGAGATGTGATTCAGGTTGTGATAATGGCAACCCTCCAGTAACTCACCCAAGTGATGTTCTACATCTGGGAGCCTAGTATGTGAGTGCTAGGAAACTATTGTGACAACATTTATCATTCCTTTAAAATGCAGCAGAAAATTAATAATAACAATAATCCTTACATTTGATATAGTGCTTTTCACATCTTCTTGACGTCTCAAAGCGCTTTACAGAATATACTATAAAGTGAATTGACTGTATCCTTTTTTTGGGGGTGAAACGTGGCAACCAATGGCGCATGGCAGTGTAAATTTAAGTTATGAATTGAACTGCACTCTATCATTTACACACCTTATCCCAAATAAGACTTTATCCTGACGACTTAAACGGAGAAACAAATAAGATGACGGTGTTTGTTGGCCCCACTGGGGCTTAGCTAACATCACAGCTGAGCACAATACTGTTTGCACATAATATCTACAAATACACCCAAACACTGCAGCAGGAATTTCAGAAGTGGTAACTCTAGCTGTGTTTTTTTTTCCCTAGCCCGAGGCTACTGAGGTCAGTTGTATTGCTCCAGCTGAGATCACCGAATGCAGCAGAGGGAAGGGATTATCTTTGATGATTTCTTTAAGTATATAAGCAACGTGAGCCACACTCACATCACCGCCATTTTAGTTAGACTTTCTATTACTTTTTTTGCATTCTCCACCACCCATTCCATATACCACCCTGAGGCATAGGACAAGCGTGTAGTCCGGGCTCTGCTAAGCATCTCACTTAAACATCCCACACTGGGGTGATTGAAAAGCAGTATGAATGAGAGCTAGTGGGGGCACATACCCTCTTCCCCTCTCAGGTCTTTCCCTCCCTCGAGGTTATGGACCTTCATGTCTCTGAGGGGAGGGTTTCTCCCAAAAATGTTGCTTAGCCCAATATTGAGACTCCCCAATTATCCCTCCCTTCCAGTGCAATGCTCCCGAAATCAGAAACTCTTAGAGTTGAACTTGCAGCAATGCACTCAATGCTACTGCCTGTTTGCCAGAATGATTTTGGATGCCTACTGAACCAAGAGCATTGCTTTGGGCACTCTTGGCAACTTTAGCAAGGCAGGAAGGCATTTAGCCTGTAAAAGCAACCACATCCTTGCAGATGTTATGTGGACAAACAAAAAAAAGGTGCTGTATTAGTATATCCTAGCTGCATAGTAAGTGTTGCAGAAAGTCATACGATATTACCTGTACGGTTTGCAGTTCTTTTCATCCCTGATGGTCTGTGCAAGTTTGGAGCTCAATTCAATTTTCATTAAAAGAACCATATTGAATAACAATTTTAAAGAAGAGAAAAAATAGCTGGCTCGACATATTTAAGGTTATGGCTAACTTGACTTGCTGTACAATTTTCGAATGCGTTTTTGCAAGGTTCATTTCAGGGTCTCGACTTTGGTGTTTTATTTATTACAGCATAAAACATTTTGCCTAAATTATGCATGGTTTAGTCAAGTATAATCTTACTCGTCGGGAGGGAATGTGCGTATTAACATCAGCAGCAAATTAAAGTTCAACTCACGTTTGTGCTCATTCCAATAACTGGACAAAGAACTATTTTTTTTGGAAAAAAAAGTGTCAAACGTGTGTGCAAATGCAAACTGAAGCACCATTCACCTTGTCAATTTGATGCCGACAGTAATAGATATTGATTTCAGCTACTATACGACATTGAGTTAAGTTACTATTTCAGCTACTATGAATGCAGCTGAACCCCACATACCACACCCCTCTTTAATCTTTAAACTCTCTCCCTCCTCTGGTGCTGAAACTCACCGCTGCAGAGGTGATTGAGGCTTGTGTTGCTCTTAAGCCCACGAGTTGCAGGAATGCGAGTGGTGTCTGAGAGCTGAGTGAATCTCTATCCCGCATGTTGTAGCTAATCGCTTGGCAACGCAGATGCGAGCAAAGTGACATTAGCCATGCCTGACATCATGTTCCTGGCTTATTTCCACCACTCTCCACTGCTAACAATGACCGGAGTTGGCCGAGTGAATGGAGATTTACAAAAAAAAAGTTGCTGTTCTCTGTCGACAGAGAGAGGGAGAGAGAAGTGACTGCAGTTTCTGAGATTTGGACATCTCCATCGAAAAGAGAAAATAAGTCTAAAATAACAATCTGGAGTGACATGACAAGTTAGAAAATCATAACAAACGGATCATGGCAGATTCTTCTGGCGTTTATGGACTGGCTTTTTTCCATTAGCTGGTTTAGTCAAGAGATTTCAACTTTATTAAAGAAATATTTAATCATCCTAGCTTCAGTCATACCAGTTTATGCTGCCTTACCTCTAAGCAGAATTGGGACGCACAGTGTGTTAGTGCGATGATATTTAACAGTGCATAAAAATGGTGAAAAATCTTAGTTGCCCATTAACAGCAATATTATTTGTGCACTACTCTGGGAAGCCAGAGAAATCCATGTTAATATATCTTGCAGGATTTTTCTATCTTTATGCAGTGCAACCCGGCTCATGTCTAAATGGAGCCTTCAAAGCCACCTGGAAGGAATGTAGAGAGGTAATTTTCAAAATAAAACAAATTAAAAGTTAGTATCAGGACCCATGTCCCCATTTGGAGTTACTTCAAGACTTTTTTTTCTAAAAAGCTGCATGAGATGAGCAGGGAATAGAGTTAATTATAAATTCCGTGTGTGACCAATTCTTCATCTGCTCCTACATTAATAAAGGGAGATAACGGACAATGAAGATGTTTAATCTTGGACATATAAGTCTTTATCCTGCCATGGAATAAAATATACCCTTAGCACCGTGGCATTTCATAAATCAGATGCAATTTTGAACGCAAAATTTAATTTTACATTAAAATTTATCTGCAATTCTTCAAAATGCAAAGCCCCAAGTCAGGATTTTGAGCTCCCAGTCTAGCCTGACATCCCCCAATTGCAATGCTGAGGGATCATTGCAGTGTTAGTGGTGATGGCTTTTGGATGAGATTGCAAAGCTTACGAATAAGCAATCATTAACTACACTTCACAGTAAATCCTGTGAAGGCGCTTTGAGATTTTTGACGACCTGATTATATAACAAATGGAAGGATTATTCCAGCGATTGAAATTTGCATTACATTTATTTATAATCCCACAGGGAGAAATTGGTACAATTTACAAAATAGGCCAGACTGGGCGTTTAGCTCACGTTGATGGACAGGAGGCTATGTGGGCCGATGGTCTACTCCTGACCCAGATAGTTAATCTTGTTACCAGTGCATTCACTAAATGGACCCCAAAGAGCAGGACAGCTCCCTCACCTCTGTTAGCATTACTATAACATGTTGCCTACAGTTTCCTGCTGTGCACGAGTCAAAGATTGGGATGGCAATCTAAGCACATGATCCTACACCAATCAGTCTCTGTATAGCTGGCGGTCATGTAAATTCCAATTTTCATATCCAGTTTTATAAGCAATACATTCTGGAGGCATTACCAACAATGAAGGGAGAAAATAGCTATGGAATGTTGGTCATCTTTGTTGCTATCTGATTGCTGATAAGCACAGAGTGACCAAAAAGTCGTGATGACTACGCTATTATCTAAAATAATCTCACAATATCATTTCTTTAAGAATTATCAGACATTGTAATGGGATCACGACGTGTTGACCACCCTATATAATCATCACCCAAACGATTACTGTGCATCTTTATATAGAGGAGTTTTTTTTAAGTACAATAGCGGGATATTCTTTGTGAAAATTAGATAAATATCATTTTCCAAATTTCTGGCATTGCACTCATAGAGTTAACAGAGTACACACCGAAACATTTTCATCGATTTGTTTGGATCTGTTGAAAGCCATTTTTAGAGTAGGTTTATAATAGATCAGCCTAAACTGGTTTCTGAATCCTAGTGTGTATAACTCCATGGGCAGCCAAGTCATGAGCTAATCCCAGTGTCACTCCAAAGTTTCCATAGTCTGATTGGTTGTCAGTAACTCCCCCAAAGGTCCTCCTTCCTTTCAGGATCCAGAGTTCTTCTCAGAGCTCTCCTCCACTGCATCAGCCGGCTTGTCTATGACTCTCACTTGGAAGGGAATGACTTAGTTAGTTTCAGCAGTGTTGTGTAGTCAGTCCGCAAACGTTGTCAGTGAACGTGTGTTTCTCCCTTTTAACAGGCACCTCACCCAAAAAGAAAGTCAAAGTCCTGAGACAACAGCTGGGACAGTCTCTCTCTCTCTCTCTCTCTCACTCTCTCTTTCTTCTTTTCACAAACTGTAGTTCCTTCATCTGCAGAGCAGGAAGAATATGACTGAAAGTTGAAGGGTATGTGTACTATGCTTATTTATGTAATATGAGCTGTCTTCTTGATACTTACTTCAGGCTGGTCACTGTTTTACTAAATGCACTGCAGTTAGCAGTCCTTGTACTTATGTGCCCATGAAGAAATCCTTTGTGAAGTCTGTGTTAAAGAGAAAGAGAGCTCACAGTGGCATGACATTTCAGTCATTGCATTGGGCCCATCTTGTTGATAGCGGAAGAGAATATGAAGTTAGAAGATGTGTAACTTCAACAGTCAGTAACAGTTGGGACATGAAAATGTATGCGTTTTCCTGAATTCTAAAGATGCAATTAACCAGCCCTCTGTTTAATGATAGATTTTGTCATTACTTATGCTAATTGGTGCACTGTGTTGAATCTTGTCTGTGCTTTTTCATCACGGTGCTGTTATCATGCTGTTGTTGACATCAGTTTGACACTGGGCTGTATGAAGAGTTGTATAGATGCTTTATTAAATGAACTGAAGGATTTGTTTGCTTAGGCATTTCTGTATGTGTGCACAGATATATATATGTATATACATGAGTATTTCAGCTGTTTGTGTAATGTGGGCATTATGAATGTGAGCTACCACCTCCAAAAAGGGGTAAGTATTGACCACACATGAAAATCAGTACACAATCTGTTTGTGGTACTGCACCATGGGCAGTGTCAGTGATCAATTGACACATTATAGTTCAGTGACAACACATGAATATCCAGATGCTGTGTTCAGTTCTATGTATAACTGTTGCTGGTATAATGATGCACTAGAGTTCTGTTGTGGTGAGAGAAGAGTTTCTCCCTCTAGTGAGCTAAATGCAGATCACCAAAATCCTGCTTCATTTATATCCTGCAATAGCTTACAATATGATGTGCAAGTATGCAGTAGTCTTCGGACGTCCTCCTGATGTGAAAGGTGCTATACAAATGTAATTTGTTTGTTGTTGTTGTAGTGGATGAAGCGGATGTAATAGAGCAATGAATATCTGATTGCAGGACTGTAACCTAACGGAAAGGTTCAGGAAATATAATAAAGCCAGAGGTGAAGCCAGAGCAGTTCGGGAATATTGTCCATTTCCCTTGTTTAGGTTTTGCTTTTACTTCACTCCCTGGCGTCTAATATTTAAAGGGGTGTTGCCTTCACAAAAATAAGTTTGTCAAGCGTCTTCGTGTTGCTTATAGACATCACGGTAAATTATGTCAGAACAGATCAGGAGGTCGTTGACACAGTGAAATTGTTGCCATGAAGCTGACATGCAGTTCTCATGGCCCTCTTTTAAACAGCAACAAAGAAGGATTGCCAAACATTTTTCCATGATGACAGTAACCTTTAATAACTATGTGCAACTTTTACCTTTTTTGTTTAAGATTTCCATTTCGAAGAACATTCCAGTGTCTTGGCTGAGCCCAGAATGATGTACACAGAATGGTATTATATTCTCTCGACCTGCAGATTTTTATCCAGAAAACAATTTGTGATAGATAAGGGAAATTGACATATAAAATGCTATTTCGTTATGAAAGGATAGTTTTCAGGGTAAATCGGTGCTCAGGTATTTATCTTGCATGCGTGTCAATGACTTTCATCTGTGTCATAGTCCATACCTAATCTATAAATCTCGTGTTCAGAACCTAAACTCTTAGCTCTACAATGTGAACTCACATTGTGATTAAGTTATGACAATGTTGAGGCGGAGTAGGAACTGTGTTGCTGTATGTGTTGTATTCCATCAGTGCTACATCTTTCCGATGTCTGTATTCTGTATGTTGGTCTGGGCAGTAGTGTTAAGGAGACTTTCATTGTCTTGGGACGTCCTCCGACATGAAAGGCGCTGTACAAATGTAATTTGTTGTTGTTGTTGAGGCAAGTTGCCTTCTGTAAGAGGAGCCATTCCAACTCCAAAGACTTGTAATTACATTCTGCTGAATCTCTCCAAGGAAATGTCTATGAGGAATTAATTACATATTGTGGTTAAGTGAAATGGCTCCAACGAACATCTTCTTGTTATGATTTATAACTTTAAGACTATTCTGTCCTCTTCATGTTACAGTAGTGACTTAGTGCAGATTCGATGGTGTCAGATGCTTTCTGTACGACTTTTCTCCGAATGTCCTCCGTCTTTGACTAGTGCCTGTCCGTTCTTGTTTAATTCAAATACTTTGTGAGACTAATTTGAAGAGAAATGTTTTTAAAGACTTATAAAACTGCACGCCCTTTAGGCAGGCGATCAAGTTTTGACAAGACTTTACCTGCATCATGATGTTCTGATTGGTGCTTAGGATGCAGTCTTACAAAAATACTGGGCTGTATTGCAACTGTGGTGAGGTAATGTAAATATATTGTATCAGATATGTCTTTGTGGTGTGTCCTGTATTGCTATTTTCTGGAGAGCCGTTTTGTGAGAAATGGCTACCCTATATACAGTATACTTACTTATCTATATGATCTGCCACCATGAGCCTTAATTCCAGCTTTTCCCTTTTCATCTTCACTGCACCTTCCCTGAAAGCATTGAAACCAGAGACCATTCTTCACATGTGTGAGCCTGAACATTGGATGCAAGCAGGATAGATCACTGTAAATGACTGAATAGTGATAACGAGCTAAAACCCCAGGTCATTATTCCCCCTCCCTACTCAAGTGTACTGAAGCTGCTCCAACTAAGTTCAGTTAACTCATTGCAGGCTGAGAATTGAACCTCTTGATTCAAATAAAACTTGGATTAAACCATGGCTGTGCTCTTGCTCTTAATCTGCAAGTTCACCTGAATTTCTTAAAATGAAGCCGTTACCATTATAGCTTTTTGCTGAAAAACTATGCCGACACTGAGAACTGCGAGTTTCTCCAGTGAGTAGGTTTCCCAGCTAACAACAGACATTCAAAGCTTTGATTTTTTTTCAGTGCAACTTAATTACTATTGTTGATAAAAGATTAATGGTATCAAACGTCTCCTCTGTCGCCGGAATTACTTGCAATTTCCCAGCCTTTTCTGCCATCTGACAAACAATAAATCAAAGTAGTGATGGTCTGGTTTAAATATCCGTGGTTAATTTCTGTGTTTAACTCATCACCATCACTCAGTTAAAGACAACCAGCAGTTTATTGCACTGGTGACCTTTCGCCCCTCATAGTTATCATTCAGGTTTGGTAGCCCTTTTCTGATCATTAAGAATCACAAGGGATATAGGTACCCTGTTATCTCAGTAAAAGTTATTGATCAGTGTGGAATTGATTCATATTGCCCTGGAAGGTCCCTGGTTGGGTCTCCAGTGTGTGTTGAGCTAATCAAAGATCTTAGGAGTATGGGTCACTGCAACTTAAAATGTGTCATGACTGAGCTAATTTCAAATGCACTGTGACAGGATTGATTAAAGTCTGAAACAAGGATCAGTTTTAATAGTTTACATACTTTAAACAGTTAAATAATCAGACAGCAACAGGAAATAGCTTACTACGTACAACGACCAGCTACTACACTAAAAACTTGATAGCTTAAGGGCAAAATTTTTGCTATGTTAGTTAGAAGCTCTAGTTAACTAATGTTAAGGAATACCAATTAGAAGAGAGGTGCAAAAGTTCTTGGTTATATGAGCAGTGTGGAGCAAAGGTACAGAGAGCTATGTTGAGTTAAATGTTGACTGAGATTCTACAAGATTAAATTTTAATTAATCGGTAGGTATTTGAATTTGTTTTACAGTGTAATAAGAACCAGCATAGCAAACATTCACATTTTTGCAGGATTGCATTTACAAAGACATTGAAGGTGTAATTCAGTCCGACGCAGCATTGCAGTGTAGTGGTAGCAGAAAAGCATTGAGTTTATACTTGAACAGCTGAGTGTGGCTGTGCTGATCCAATTGTGGATCAGAATTGTTCTTTTCTGGAAAATTGCAGGATAATGGCATAGTCATATATCCAAACAAGACACTTAAGTGAAGTTGTATTAAATTACAAAGAAAGTGAGATAGACAGACAGACATAGTAATAAATAATACTTGCAGCTACAGGTTTTAGTGTAACCTGGCAGTTATCCAGCTTGTTGTTTGTCATAAAAGACTTTCTAAAAGGCCGAATAACATTCCAGGTAACTTAGTCAATGGCATGTTGGAAGTTGGATCAGAAGATTCTGTGTTTAAGTGGGTCCCCTCAGTCCCTTGCGCTTCAAGGGAGGTGGTGGTGTGGGGGTGGGGGGTGTACGGGGGTGCAGGTTGGTGAGGTAAATAGGACTCTCCCTTGTATTTAACTGTCTCCAAAGGAAAACACCTGGCAAAGCCAGGCATGTGCAAGTACGTCTGCCTTATCAATCAGACTTGGATATAGACATGTCCTTGATTCTTCATGCCAATGCCCCCGAAGATAGTGTTCCCAGCTGAACAAGCATTGTGAAAATGTAACAGTGTTTTTCCTCGTGGTTATCATTACGACTGAAAGCAAAGTTTCAAATAGCAAATTAATGTTATTGGAGATGTGCACGTTTCAAAAGTCTCATTTATTCTATTACACGGTTCAGTTGCATCTGGCTAACACGTGTAGATCTGAAATAGTTATATGTCAGGACATAGTTAACCTCTGGAGCGTGAATAGTGTGTCATAAAAGAGCAGCACTGTATCCATTCATTCTGACTGCAGTGTTACAGCTCACCCACACGTATCCAACAGACCGATAGTATTCCAATTGAACACAGCAGAAAGGATATGAGGAGTCCAAAATCATAATGAAAATTAGGATGGTCCAGACCTTATTTTGGTCACTAAATGTCATCGACATATTTATAACAACCTGCATTATTTCATCTACCAGCCCCCCCACACCCCCACCACCACAAATTTAACAGAGTCTGAACGCCCACTTGTTGAAATCTGCATAAAATTTAAAGAATGTAACTGACGAGTGAAAGTCAGCAGGTAGCCCACCTCAAAGATGACAGTCTTGACAATTTTTATAAGCTCATTTGAACTTGGATGTCACATTAGTCAATTATTGAACATAGGAACAGGAGGAGGACATTCAGCCGCTCAAGCCCGTTCCGCCATTCTATTAGATCATGGTTGATCTGTACCTCAACTCCAAACAGGATTTAGTTTTTAAATGCAATGCCCAAATGCAAACTGCAGGCCAGATCCAGACAGTCTATAGTCTTAGCGCTTCCCATTAAAACTCACTTATTCATTTCTTGTATCTTTCTTGGCTCTCCTTACTTTTTCCATCTTTTTCTGCATTCTCCTTATGTCTTGGGGTTTCTCCCTCCTTTCCTGGTTCCTGTATGTTCGTTGCTAATTTGCTTTGTTTTTTTGGCTTCTCGTTGTACTCCTGCAGTGAAGGAAAGAGAACATATGTGGACGAGCAGCAGATACTATTGTTGCTCATTAGCCATCAGTTTAGATGCGGTCAAAACTTTTAAATTCTATTTCATCTGTAAATTCTTTTTTTTTACAGTAAAATGCCTTTGGAAACACCACCAAGTTCTTTAACTTCCAACCTTAGTTCATTGTAGAAATCCCACTTGATGCTAGGTTGGAATTTATGTGTCACTTGAAAATGATTGGTATATAAAACTCAGATTAAAATCCCCAGGTACCCTCTGCTCTAAGTAAAAACATTAACTATTTGTCCAAAGTGGTAATCCGAAACTGTTTGGTGCACAAACGGGGTTGATGTGAGCATAAACACTATGAGATCAACTTTCAGTTCAAACATAGTTGCTTGGTCTGACCTGTGTGCAATTTAAACAGGACTTTAGAAAATGCTGCCTTTGGGATTAGACTTCTGTTGGTTTAGAGAACTCCAGCAGATATTGCCTATTATAGGCAGATTGAGAAGGGTTACTGCTAAACTGAAAATATTTACCTCCAAAAGAGATCTTATGATATTGTGATAACCTATTGCTACCAGGGGCACATCAAAATGTAACCAAGATCATAGCAAGACAATATATGATTGGCACAAACCAAAAATCAATTAGAAATATGTTTTCTCAAACTGATGCTAATAAATGCCCCCCAAAAAATCCACAAAATACTGCAGATGCTGGAAATCTGAAAACAAAAACAGAAGTCGCTGGGAACACTCAGTAGGTCAGGCAGCATCTATGGAGAAAGGAAAGTGAGTCAACATTTCGGGTCCATAACCCTTCGTCCTGATCTGCTGAGTGTTCCCAACGACTTTTATTTTTAATAAATGCATAATTCAGTGAGGGTAACATTATTAGCCGTACCTGCTGGGATTCATTTGTATTTCCATTGTTTTATCTTGAAGAATTTGTTTTTGACATACCCCTTTCTTGTTTGAATCGGGAGAAGGAAGACATGTTGTATTGTCTGTTTGTAAAAGCAGCAAAAAAAAAAGGTGTGTTACATTGTGCCATTTGAACACCCATATTAGGATTGCGTCCCTTAAAGGGATGCATAGAAGAATCATGTTATTTGACAATAGAAGCGTACAGCACAAACACAGGCCATTCAGCCCATCAAGTCTGTACTAGTGTTTTCTCCATATGATTCATGTAATCTAATACCTTTCTCCTCCTTGCTTGCAAAACCCTTTATTATTCCTCTTTCGAAAGAATGTATTCAAGAACAGTTTCTGGAAATAAATTCCACATTCCAACCACTCTTTGTGTTACTGTTGGCTCATGTCAGTGTGATTTTAGTAATCTTAGCTCAGTATTCATATTTTGCAGGTATGCAATGTCAACATTGGTTGTAATGATTTTGAACAGAAATTCTGTAGTTCACAATCACAAAAGCAAAGTTTAAAAGTTTGGAGGGCTCGTTTACACAGAAGTTTCCATTAAACTGACCAGTTGCTTGGACCGTATGTAACATTTGAAATGTAACTCTTCAAAGTTATATTTCCCATGTAAATATTTACAATTCCAGTGGATACAACATCAACATTCATTATTTATTTCCCAATTTGAAGTCGATACAGTACAAACATGATCAGTGCCTGAGCCATATATAATAAATATTATTTGCTAACGGTGAGAAGTTGACTGATTTCAAACTTTGAGATTGGCTTTGGAGATTCCAAAATTCAAGTTCTTTAAAACCAAGCACAAGGCTGAAGCCGGAATTACTTAAACCAGTGATACAAACCCAACATGGGGGTGGTTCTAATTCAAGCTTCCCAGTGTAATTGAAATTATTCAGTTTAGCTTAAGATAAGGATGGCAAATAAACTGTGCCATATAGAGTTTAACTTTATTTGGATACATTACTACCACTCCATACCCCAATAGACCCATAACCAAACAGAACCATGAGGCTATGTATTCTCACACTCACTAAATTACCAAGTATTAGAGACAGGGTTCACTAGACTCAAGTGGGTATTGATTCTGTCCCTATTAATTCTGAACTGGCAACAAACTGGTACGTGTTTTCAAAGTAAGAAATATATACAGTTGTGAGCAGACATGCGAGCACTCCCACCTCTGACTCAGATACTCACGGGTTCTAGGACACTGGAACTTTTGCTTAGGCTAACAGTGGGTTGTGGGATATATTCCATGAAGTAATACATGATTGACAATACAGTGTGAGATTAGATATGATTTGAATTAGACAGATGCTATGCCAAATTGGTTCTGGGCATGATTCAGTAAGATGCCTCAGCACTTGTGAATCAACAGATGCTATGAACTAACTGAAATAGAATCTCTTCTGGTACACTGGGCTAGAAATGAAATGTTTCAGAACAGATTCGATGTGGATACGTGTAGAATCGGTTACAAAATTTTGCATTTTTTACCCCCCCTTTTTCAAAGTAGTTGCATTTAGAATTTCAATTATCATTAATTGGCTGTGAACAGGAAATTGGAATGGCAGTAAAATCTAAACGTAAAAACATTGGATACTTAAGATTAGATAAGATCGGTCCAGTCCATTACATTGCAGTGTTCCCTTACCCACCTCAGACGTCACCTATTAGGTAGGGTGCAAAACAAATTAGACGATGCTGTCATTTTTCTGTTAGCTAGAGGAATGTCACCCTTTAAGGGGGACCAGGGCAGTATTATTGTTCACTCTGTTTCCTTACAAAATATTCATAATAGTCGTGAAAGTTTTAAAGTATTTTTTTGCAGCAAACAGTACGGTGCTGTGTTGAATGCCTCCAAAGGCTTTGGGTGCTCAAACAGAGGTTTTCATTGTTCACTGAATGCAGTGTGACATCCACATTTTATCCACTCCTCGAATAAAAGCCCAAGTTCAAACAGGAGGAGGGGAGGAAATGAAAGAAAGTATACAAAGACCTTCCTTGATGCATTAGTTTCACTGTCTGTGTTTACTGTAGTGACAAAAGGATTGAATATCTGTTCATCAAGGACAAGATAACCTTAACAATAATTGTAAAGAAGCTGAACGGCTTCTGTACATAAAAGTACAGTTTGCAGCAAACTTAGAAAAGCGATTTGTGTAACATTTTCAGGTAGGTAGAATTATATAAAAAAATTAAGGCACAATTAGCTCTCTTTTCCATTACTAATAATGGAGATGAGCACTGTAAAGATGAATGAATCTGGGCTTCTTGTTCACTGTAAATCATGGCATAAACGCTCACAGGGGACAAACAGCCAGTGTAGAGAATATTGCTTAGCTAATAAAAGAAGGTTAATGTACATGTTTCAAGAACAAATGGAAACTGTTATTAGACTCTAAAAAGTGACAAACAAGTCTCTCTCTCTTAATCTAAAGCATTTTATCTCGTTGGCACTCATTCAGAATGGTTTGGTCAATTGATTAATTGATCCAAAAGCACCACATTTTCATTTCACTCTCCGTGGAAGCTTTCCTGTAGGTACTAGAGTAAAGCATTTACAAATAGAAGACTTTGGAAAATTGTTGTAAACACGTGCTATTTACCAGCAAGTGGAAAATAACCCCCTTATTCCTGGAATCATATCAGATTTCATATTATTCTTGACTGGACATTTCCAATTCCAAAGAACTTCATATGTGGCATCATCTTCTGTCCAATTAGCTTAAGGCAAGTCTCCCGTAATCTCTATCGTGGAGCTGTGCAAAATGACAGGATCCAGGGCAGCAAAAGATTGATGGTGTTTGGTAAAAAGCGCTACATTGCTCACACAGCTAATTTCTGATTCCCCAAATGCCTTCAACAACAGACATTAATCTTAAACTACAAATTTTCACCAACTGAGAGGGGGTAAACCTGTCAAGCACATCGAGCCAGGTTCATACGGACCCAGTGGATGAACGTAGAGTGGGATTGGCAGTGGCTGAGAATAAGTTCCTCCTCCTCCTCAATAAGCGAATGTTGCACAAAAAAACTAGTGAAATTAACACTACGTAATAAATAATAATCCTTGCATTTAATGTAGCTTCATTTCACGTCCTCAAGACATCTCAAAGAGCTTCAAAAGTTTTATTGTAGAGTTTAATGACTGGCAAATTCAATAGGTAAATGCAGAAGCCAATTTGTACACAGCAATTTCCCATAAGCAGCCATGAATCGAATGACCAATTTTACCTGGGTGAATTGTTGGCAGGACACTGGGAGAAACTCCCCTCTCTTTTCAAATTGTGCCATTGGATCTTTAACGTCCACCTGAGTAGGCAGACATGGCTCCCAGTTTAACATCTCATCCAAAGAGCAGCACCTCCAATAATGCAGCATACTCCAGCACTTTGTTGGAATGTCATCTTAGACTATATGAGTACCAAGTCCCAACATGGGGCATGAACCCACAACCTTTTGACTCAGATGCGAGAGTGCTTCCAACTGAGCCAAGCTGGCATACATATATATGTGATTTTCTCCTTTTTGAACAAAACTCACAGAAATCTGTGAAGTAGCATCACCTTGCTTCAACATTACTCAAGTAAGGATAGTTTTACTGAATATTTGATCTGCCCTTTCAATAGGTTGCGTATCTTCATTCTTTCCGTTGGAATATGTGGTAGAAGGGGTCATCCAATTTAAGGAATCAAATTTGGAATTTGGCACATTTGGATGTTGTCCCACAGGAAACAAGGGATTCATTTTAGGAACGGAATTGTTTTTTTAAAATGGAAAGTCCTACTCATTTAAATTGAAAGCATTATGGGTTTATTGTTTAATTGTAAGCGATAATAAAGGAAGCTCCACCCAGGTCAAGAGTAATGTCACTTGTGTTGTGGAACCCATTATGTAGCAGTTAAGCAATTGATTCTGAATCCATTATGCAATGTCACAGAAAATCTTGGTTACAATTGCACTTCTTTTCCATTATCTTGCCTTTTGGATCTGACTATGTCATGCGCCATCTATTGAACAGATCTTAATATTATAATTTTTTTGACTTTTAAATGAAAAGACGGCATTTCTATTTGAATAAACAATTTTGTAAATTCTTTTAACGATTACAAAAAAATTATATTCAAGGTTAATACTTAATTCAACAATTTGGCAAATTCTGGATGTGCTAAAATTCTACATCAATGAAGTAAATATAGATTCAAGTGGACCTTCTCCCACACTATGCCCAGATGCCCTGATCTCAAGATTCTCTCACACTACTTGCAATCTGGGTACTTGTTGGCAATAGTCAATGAAACCTAAGTTTTAGAAGTATAGAAGACAGCGTTCATCGCTTATCTGAGTATTTTTCATGTTTAAAATACTGTTAAGTGTTACCATGTAGTATCAATCTGAACTTCTTCAAGGACAAAGTGAGCACAGTTCAACTTTGAATCAAAAGAATTAAACTAAGATTGCTAGACTGTCCGTCCTTGTTTTCAAAGCATCCCAAACTGATTATGTAATAAATTGTAGCCATCAGCAGCCCTCAATGAGTCAATACAACTTGTCAAGTTGTTTCTTGTTTGTTTATTAAACATGTGAATTTAACTTGTATCGCAATTATCCTCAATGCTGTTTATTAACTGGTGCTGGTTAATCATCTTCAATGCTGGGTCATTTCTTTTCTTGGATCAAAAATTCACAAAGATACACAAATTCTGCTTGAGAAGCATCCTAAGATGACTTCCATTGACCAATCCTCCTGCTATTCTATCTTCCCTCCTCCAACTTGACCTCACCTCACAAAAATGGGATCAACCCCTTATGGATCTTTCTGTTATAGTAACTAATTAGCTGATATCCAGTAGCACTTATTGACTTTACATGTCTCTTCCCCTGCCTACCCATTCTGGACAACGGGTCTGGTGTGTAATCTTGGGTTATTGTGTGTGCTGCAGCCTCAGAAAATCTAAACATAAATACTTATTTTTCACTGACTTGAAGCAGTTGATTAGTTTGATGATGTGCTTCCTTTTTTGCACAGCTGTTCCTGAAGATGCATGAAAACGATTAT